GCGTTTTTAAACTAGTATTATGAAAACTCTATCATTCTGTTCTAATAGCTGAAACATATTCCTGCAAGTTTTCATTTGTCAAATGAACTGTTTGTCAAATACAGAATACATATAGTTTAGAACAATTTTCTTTTTAAAATGTGGATGAAATGTTTTGCTTTTTATGTATTTTTTATGTATTGTTTTTGATTTGATAACTTTGAACTAAACAGATTTTCTATTAGCTTCAGATCTTGATCAAAGTTTGGCACCCAGTTCATAGGAGTGCTTATATTGATTTTCTGACATATACATTACCAAGGATATTATTACAAGATAAATCATTTGCTTCATTGAACACATACAACAATGCATATTTCCACTGAGATCAGTGACCTTTGATGTGTATCACCAGTGATCAGTCAAGTAGAAACAGTCAAAATATTTTATCAGATTTTCTCAATTTTTGCATGATATTTTCATACAGGACATCTGTTGTTCAAACTCAGGTAAGACATTATACTGATGAATAAGGTGACCAAGTTTGATGAAGTTTGGAATAGAATTGGTAAAGTTATTATGCACACAATAACAATTATTAACGACGACAACGACAACAACAACAACGACAACGCCGGACAAAATCTTTCCCTTAATATACCTTTCCCTTCCATCTTTGATGGTATGGGCAAGGTAAAAATGGATATTACATGGTATATTTCCCGGCAAGGGGATATTAAATGGGTATATCACATGGATGACGTTACTGAAACTACTGCGCAACGCACTGGTGCTGCCTCGATCGCTGTTGTTTTCGGGGCTGCTTTCAAGGTTTTAAAGGAACTTTAGCCATTCAAAATAGACAGCAAATGTGCCAGAATGAATATTAAGTAAGATAAGATCTGTTATGATGTTTATAATATTTTATGAAGCAAAAATGTATGGCAAAGCCATTACTTCAGTGAGAAAGTAAGTCCACGGCACTCTGACATTTTTATCTGGAGAGTGATCAAATAACTTGCATTTGAGCATTTCTCAATTCATTTCAAAAATTTTATTCTCGATAAATTGAGTGATTCACACTGCTGAAACATGGTTTCTAAATCTTTTTATCCATGGCTGAAAATAACATTTACTGAGTGTATTTTGCAGTTTTTTCAGCAAACAATGTATGTATGTTATTGAGTAATTTGAAACTTGTTATACAAGTAATAGATAAAATAAAATATTGCATACTTCAAATATAAGTGTTGTTATTTTGTGGGACAGCGGGTGTGAGGGATGTATGGTAGATGTGATTGTCCATGGTGGAGGTCTGTTCGATGTGATAATATCACGATTTGTTGTCTGCCTTCGGCTCAGGCATCATCAATATTATGGTCATGACCACCATCCCTTGGGCAGGCAATAAATCATGATATTGCCCTCACAAATATGTGTTATTTAACACGCACCTTAAGTAGACAGCACCAATTATCGACTACATGTGCTGCCGAATTGTAGTGACTGTGCAGTATTCGCAGTCCCAGTAAGTTCAAAAGTTCATTGACTTCGTGTGTTTTTGACATTTCGACACGCAATAGACAGCAAACAAGGCAGAGAGCCACCTTTGTATGACCCTTCAACTTTAGCTTTTCGGGGTCGATATGACGTCATTATTTAACAAAGCGCATGCGTCAGACTGCATATTTTTATTCTCAATGGCTGACAAGATCGTTGTTGTGGTTTGTCTGTAGAATCTCAAGAAATTCCCTGAAAATGCCGGTAAGGAAGCATGTCTTTATATAATATGGAGCGTAATTGGTAACAATGATACAATATCGTGGTCATAATTTAGAATTGTCCAGGTTAAGCGCAGTGACTGAAAAGAAAGCATAATGAAATTCTGACAGTGACACTTTTACTCAGTGGAGTCTGTAAGGATGGCTGCCATCTGCACAGTTACCCGGCGAGGATGTGATGAACCACAGTCCCTGTGGATGTACGTAGTAAAACAGAATTACATCGCACCATCGCCGGGTTATTGTGATCTTAACGACGAGAGATATGGATTTGTATGCACGACAACCGGCTATGCGTGTACAAGCAGACTTCACACTGTCCTGTAAGAGATTGACCATAAAAAAACTATGGACGGGGAGGTGGAAAAAATGTGAATTATTTTGTTGTTTAACTTAGGTTTGAGCTCGATTTTATTTTACATGTGCTTGACATAATGCTGTTACAACTATGGCATAACATTGTTGTGCCATTTGTTCTTCCCAGAAATTTAAACCACTGTGGCAATACAAATTCACATACTAATTTCCATAACATTTGCATATTATTTGCATGATTATTCCAAACAAAAAAAGGCTTACTAACATGTCCATTAAAATTTTTCAATTTGATTTAAAAAATCATCAATGGCACAGTCAAAATAAACCACTGTTGCAGTCAGGGTAATGACTGTGGCGGTGTCAAACAATTGTGGTGGTAAAACAAAATAAAGCACTTTGGTGGTACTGCCACGTTGTTTGTATCCTGGGGAGATCACTGATATATTGAGAGCTGCAAAACCAGGAGGGAGAGAAGGGACAAAGGCATAAGGTTTGAAATCTATGAATGCCATGGAGGTGATTGCCTTGATGCCCTTCAGATATTTTCAATTACAATATCAATCAGGCTGAAGCATTTTGATATGAAATAGAATTCAACTGCAAACAAATTGTCTGGAGATGAAGGCACAACTTTTATCATCAGTCCAATGTCTTCAACCAATAATTTATGTGCCTTGGCAACAAGTGTTGCCATGTGAATATGAGATCATCTTTTACAATGTATATATAAAAGTCATTAGTGAGATTGCTTTATCATATGTAGCAGGTCCTCACACTCACAGTGATATAAGAACCAATCTCTGGGTAATTGAATGTATTGCCCCAAATTCCTAGGAAATATTCTTGGCTGTTTTTGGTTCGTTCAGTTTGGACCAAATCAACTAGCCCCCAACTTCATGTACCAAATCATCTAGAAAACATCAGCAATTACTGATAGTGTGTTATATTAGTGTTACATCTCAATAGAATAGTTTGCTTGGATGAAAGTACTAGTAGTGACCTAACAGTCAGGTGTTAATTTTAGTGTTCTGTGTCATTAATTACAAAAGCCAATAATTGCTGAGAGACAAATTGAAGATGCACAATGAACTTTTGTTGTCAGGCAGTGTATGACATTATGTCATGTTTCTATGGTCCCCCTCCTCAAAAATATTGTCAGCCTTGGATGAATGACATCTTTCTGTTAATATCAACTGTTGAAATTACATGACAAGACATTCTGACAGCTGGTAAGCTACAGTGGAAGATGTGAGCAATGTAGAGCTGATAGTTTAAAATCTCTGTACAACAGTTAGATTATCAGAGACTATTAGTACTAATTTGTATTACTCTAATTTTAAACTATAATCTTTCTTTCTTTTTTGGCATTAGAGAAGTGAAGACAATGTTCGTGTGGTGGTACGATGTCGTCCCATGAATAACAAAGAGATAAGTCAAGGTTTCAAACAGACTGTCAATGTTGATAGAGTATCTGGACAGGTAACGATTACAAAACCTCAAGCTGGTCATGGTGAACCACCCAAGGTATTTACATTTGACACAGTGTTTCCCACAGACACAAAGCAAGTAGATGTGTACAATGAAACAGCTAGACCTATTGTGGATGCTGTGCTTGAAGGATACAATGGTAAGAAATGCTAAAATTTGACTCCCAGGGTAAATAGATGTTTTGATTGGAATACATTTACTATTTCAAAATGACAAGCAATAAATTAACATTGGATGAAGTTTCTTGAAAAAGCATGACTGATAATCAGTTTTAGCAAATGGAATTTTTCTTTCAATTAATGTAATTATAATTTAAAACTTGAATTTGTTGGTCAATGAGGATTAAATCTAGGCCGATAACTACCGTAACTTAGTTTCTAGTATTTTCTATAATTTAATAACAACTGTCATGCAACATTTAGTGTAACTACCTAGTGTCACGGTTATACATGTACAGTAAATGTGTTTCACATGCTTATACTTATCCACATAAATTTCACCGCTCGAAATTTTTGAGGTTTGACAATTATATGAAGATTCCGGTCCCCCGCAATCTTTTTAAAGCAGTTTTCTTACTTGCATCATAGAGCTCCTTATTAAGTTCAGTGTTTGCAATGGATAGCATAGTACAACGTTTCCCATAATGTGTCTTGTCGACTAGACAATAATGACGTTATGCAACGTGGAAACAAGGCTCCAACAAATTAAAAAAAAACAACTTTGCGATACGACTGTGTGGCACGGGCATACCCAGTTGTGGGACTCATACGTTTCAAAACATGAACATATGTAACCTTTTTTCACGCAATGTTGTCGGTCAACAATCATTTCATTGCAGGGATATACATAGTTCAGGGAACGTAACATTTTTTGCGGGATCTTTCAATTTATTTATTTTGAGACCCATTTGTACTTTTAAAATTGACGAGAACATTGTATATTAAATTCGAGAAGCATTCACATATTCAAAGTATATTGTTGACAGTCCCCTCGAACGAACCTATTATCATGACCAGCCAGGCCTATCACATCCACCAATAAACTAATCTAAGGCAGTACCCATAGCTTGGTTTGTCTTGTCATCAACAGTGGGGTGAAAACCATCTTTTTTCCTTCTCGTAACTGACCTAGTTCACCTCTGTTTCCACTGGAAAAATAAGAATCGATCAAGTTTACAACCCCTGCAACAACAAACGTTTTTTGTTTTTTTTGCACACATACTCTATGGAAGTTATTAGAATGTTTACACACAGTCCCTCCCCTTTCGTGCACACCTCAGCTCATGCCATCTGCACTTGCTTGGGCCGGACCCTTTTGTGGAGCACCAACGACACTCCTGGAGTGACTATATAAACAGCTCACAGCATATCATTTCTTATTAGCTCCATGATATCCCTTACATCATCAACTCCGTAATTATATAAACATACCTAGAGATTAAACAAACAACTCAGGATTAACACTTTGCATTTGCAATTGCCGAAAAGAGTAATTTTGCGGAGCACCCCAAGGCGATGTTTCCCGCTTTAGTGTCATTTGCATACTGAAAACTGGCAGCCATCTTTTGCTTTTATATATCTCAGCTCACAGTACATGTGATATATTTTGTAAACTGTACCTTCACTTACTCAAATGATTACCACAATACATGTACCGGTACATGCATCATCTCCAGGTACTGTACACCATTGTCAAAACCATATTGTCTGTTTACATGTACATGTGTGTATATAGTGATCTGTAGTGTTTGTTGTATATCCATGCATAATATATGTTCTCCAAAAGAAACATAATAACTAATTTGTACCAAGCATTAGAATTTTTCCATGATAATTTGCATAATTTACATGACTCCCTGCATTGTCTTGTTTGCAAATATTTACAGTGAAACTCTTCTTCTCTGTTCTCAGGTACAATCTTTGCATATGGACAGACAGGCACAGGAAAGACATTCACTATGGAAGGTGAAAGAAATAAACCTGAAATGAGGGGTGTCATCCCCAATTCATTTGCTCATATTTTTGGCCATATAGCAAAAGCAGCTGAAGATGTCAGGTAAGATTTTACAACATTCTCTCACCATACTGTGTTCATGGCTGTCATTTAATTTATAAAGCAATGGAAAATGGGAACTTGAAATGAACATGTCACATTGTATGAATTGGTAGAAGGAAAGTAATGTGCTAGTAGATTGTTAAATTTTACTTATTCTACCTTCAAAGGAAATTGATGCGACAAAACAATAATAGCATTGAGATTTTGATAGAAATTTTCTCAATTTCAGGATTCTATGGCATTCATGAATGCAGCATTTTGCAAGATGGTCAGTTAGGGTCTTCATGTCGAGGACCATAACAACATTTTAAATGCTAGAAAGTTTTGCTATTTTCACCGATTTTCTAAATTTGAAAAAATTCATCTCCTGTGAAATTAAAGCATTTTACAGTAGTTACAAGGTTGTGTAAATGATAATTTCAGGACATTTTCAGAGCTTGAACTTCTTGATGTTCTTGAAGGTACTGAATTTGATACATGCATCTAAAAATGCATTTTT